AAGCCACGCCCACCCCGGATGCCACTCCCCTCGCATCGCTATCAACGGAATCTGTAAATTGCATATATTGAGAATCAATATCACTACGATTCTAGGCATTTCACTGGCAGTCAAATGTCAACGTTCATCATGTCGGTGTGGACGACATGGTGCTACTCAGCAAACTCTCAGAACAATCCATTGCTGACAATTTGAAAAAGCGGTTCCATGGAAACAGTATTTTTGTGAGTCATTTTTTTGAATATTCTACACTAGTCCAGCAGAGGTGCTGGACAAGTACTATATAATGAATCGAGGCCTATTCTCCTCCACGCCCGCACAGAATGCCTCTGTTCTAGACCTATATCGGACCGGTGCTCATCTCGGTGAATCCATTCAAACAAATGCCGTATTTCACTGAAAAGGACATGGATCAGTACCAAGGAGCTGCGCAGTACGAGAACCCGCCACACATCTACGCTTTAGCTGATAATATGTACAGGTACTGCGTTTTCCACGGTTTTTTGCCGTTAATTTGTGAGCTGTAATCTGCGATCGGACGGAGGTTGTGTAGGGGTAAGCAGCGCCACTCACCAGATGAACGATCCGAGAATCAAATTCTGGAGTGATTCTCGGATTCAAATTGTTCAGGCCATCAAAATCTCCCTTTTTCCTATACTTTATTTGGCACCAACCTCGTCGAGGTGAATAAAACAAACTTCTGCACTTTCTGACCCCTGGAGGTCCGGAATCCCACTGTGTATAGCAAATCGCGTTTATGGTTCCGAATGGTAGTAGAATGCACGGCCCATTCCAAAATATCCAGTCCTTTTTCTTATATAATTAGGTCATTTCTCTCAACATAATTCTGAGGAGAGTAAAGGAAGCTTCTTTGGTCCCATTTGAGAGCAAATTCTTTTCATTTTATCACGCATTTTTTTAAATTTTTAAAATTTGAAAGGTATTTTCCAGAAATATGCTAATCGATAACGAGTCTCAATGTGTCATCATTAGTGGTGAAAGTGGTGCCGGTAAGACC